CTGTGGTCCCTCGTGTCCTTTCTCTGTGGTCCCTCGTGTCCTTTCTCGCTGGCCCCTCGTGTCTTTTCTCTGGTCCTCGTGTTTTCCTCGGGCCCTCCACCCTTGCAGTGCCACCCTCGACCCGCCCTAGTCCTTCGGGAGGGGTTTTTTTTTGGGGACGCCTGGAGGCGTCCTTGGGGGGTACTGTAAGGATGGTACTTTTCTGTGGCCCGGTTTGTGTCTGTTTCCCTCGTGCTCCCTCATTAGTTTCCATTGTTGCCACCTGTGTCTCGTCCCAGCTGTTTGTTATCACGTCTCGTCTTGTCCCTGTATTTAAGCCGTCCTATTCTGTCTTGTTCTTCGTCGGGTACTCTTCCTTGGGTACTCTTCCTTGGGTCTCCTGAGTCTTTCCCTGAGTCTTCCTGGTCCCTCGAGTTCCCCGTGTCTCTCGTGTCTCCTGAGTTCCCCGTGCCTCCTTCCTAGTTCATGTAAGTTTTGCTGCCCCGTCAGCTTGTTTATTTTGTACTTTTCGTTTATCATTAAAAGCCTATTTTTGTATATCTGCCGAGTTGAGTCCCTGTTCTGCACTCTGGGTTCGCTCCTGACACAAATCCTAACACAGATCACATGTTCTCCAGGTGAATTCAGATAAGATGGCCTTCAAGGCCAGCCAAGGGAGTCAAATTCAGATAAACACACAGTTGTTTTGGGGACAGGCAGAACTTAATGACATCTACCTTGAGTCTGTGTTGGTCCACTCGGTTCCAAAATGTCCAAATTACATGGCTGCACCGATGGAACGTGACTTGAGTAAAATCCCCAAGATCTGATCCATTCTGTCCAAAGCATTTGAGTCTGGGTACTTGAGACACAAACCAAGCCATCATAAAGGCAAGCAGCGTGATTGGGTCCAAATTTGCTGCAGATGACTTCCTTGATTGTAGATAAAACCAGCAACCAGCCGAATCCAAAAAGCAGGAACCAATTATCGTAAATCCAATTAAATATGTGTCCTTAAAATCCACAAATGGCAGCAGAGATAGACATATCATCAAGTCTTCCAAGTCGATAAGATATCCAGCTGTGTGCGTGCCAACAGGGCAAAACGGCTCGCCTAAAGCCCGTCCTCAAAGCTCAAACACAAACAATAACTTTTAGGCTTGAACTAGTGTCATCTCGGATTTTTGAAATTGGTTTGAGAACAAAGTTGAATGTCTTTAATCTTGTTTGTTTTGTTTTTTCCAGGAAGAAGAGGGATCCTTGCCCTATCTGCTAGTGCTGTGTGGAGATCATGGCATGTCGGAAACTGGCAGCCATGGTGGTTCGTCAGAACCAGAGGTCAACACACCTTTGGTTCTCATTAGTCCAGCCTTCAAAAGGAAAGGTAAACTGATTTTGTCTTTTAAGAGAAACCGCTAACTCATCATTGTGTTGTCTTGTCTTTTTTCCATTAGAAAGTACACCTGGAACTGCCATTCTGTTAGTCTGTTTCTCCATCCTGTTCTCTCAAACCCTAGCCAGCCGAAGCAGAAGTCCGCTTGTCCTGAGCAGGCATTTTTTATGTATGTGAATGTTTTTGTTCAGTGCCCTGAGCCAACTTCTGTTCTGACTTGGCACTATATAAATACACTGAAATGAACTTAATTTGAATCTTTAATTACAATAGACTGTATGGCTTAGACTGTATGGATTTTGGCGGCTCTTTCAGCTTTATTGCTTAATTGACAAAATTATAAAACAAATAAAGATTAAAAAAAGTTTTGCAGGCATTTTCCAGTGTGCTCCAAAATAAGATAACATAATAATAACCTTTATTTAACCAGGTTTGTCCCATTGAGATCAAAAGATCTCTTTTACAAGAAAGACCTGGCCAAGACTGGCAGCATACAGAGAGGGGGGAAAATCACTCATTAAAAAAACAAAAAACACTCAGTTACAACACTTAGTTACAACACATACTCACAAAAACATAGACTTACAATAAACAAATGACTCAATTAAAACGGTTTCACTTCTGCAACTTGAACATAATGGGATCTATCATGGTATTGAATACATTCAGAGACACTAGTCTACTGATCTAAGTTCAAGCTTTGATTGCAAACTGTTCCATGAGGTTGGAGCTGAAAAGCTGAACGCTTTCTTCCCACTTTCTATCTGACACGAGGAACACTAAAATTTAAAGTCTTGAGACCGGAGGCTGTAGGTCCTGTTGTTTAAAGTTAACAAAAATTACAGATAAGGTGCCATCAATTTAAGAATAGCCTTGTAAATCAAAACATACCAATGGCCAAGTTGGCATACATGCAGATGGCCATTTTACCATAGCATACAAGAGACAGTGTGATAAGTTGGGGCTGCATAATTTGTAATAAACCGCAAAGCGCCATGATACATGCTAGCCAGCATGTGAAGACATTGAGCAGATGTGTTCATGCATAATACATTGTCATAGTCAGTAATCGGAAGAAAAGTTGACTCCACCTATTTCTGTTTTACCCTAAAAGAAAAGCAGGATTTATTCCGAAAATAAAATCCAAGTAAAAGCTTCAGTTTATTTACAGTAAACTGAATATGTGCTTTAAAAGACAATTTGTCATCAATTAAAAATCCCAAATATTTTAACGTAGATACAAGTTCAATTTGTTGACCATCACTAGTGGTGATGAGAGACTGGTTTGACCTTGCTGTTGCTGAGTTGCTGAAAAACATTAGCTTTGTTTTGTCAACATTCAAAACAAGTTGAAGCAGACAAAGTTGTTCTTGTATTCTATTAAATGCATTCTGCATGTATGCAAACCCTTCTGTGGGCGTATGTGCAAAGCAATATATGACTGTGTCATCTGCATCAAAATGAATTGCTGCATTTGAAATATCCTTTCCAAAATAATTAATATACAAGATAAATAACAAAGGGCCTAGTACAGAACCTTGTGGTACCCCCTTATGAATAAACTAAACTCCAGAACAAAAACCATCTAACTGGACAGTCTGGGTCCCATCTTTAAGATAGTTTGCAAACCATCCAACTGTATGTGTATAAAACCCAACTGTTGTTAGACGGTTAAGTAGAATGAAATGATCCACAGTATCAAAGGCTTTAGAGAAATCTATAAATAGTGAAAGACAACACGGATTTTTATCTAGAGCTTCTGTTATATCATTTGAAACCTTTAATGCTGCAATGGTAGTACAATGTTTTTTTAAAACGAAATCCTGATTGAGAAATCAAAGGAATAGAATTAGTGGCCATATATTATTTTACTTATTCACTAACAAGGGACTCAGACTTTTGCAAGCACAGATATTTTAGAAATAGGTCTATAATTGCTAAAAGTCATGACATCATGTTTAAAATGAGGAACAGTCATCTACGCAAACAGTTCACAAGCAGACACATGCTTTTCATTAATGAATAAGGTTGTGAATGAAAGTGTGATTGTGATAATGACTATCAGTCCTATCTATTTTTAAGATTCTTCTTTCATGCCTTTTTTATAACTACACTACTTTTGCTAATGAGTCACTTACAGCAAAATAGATAGTTTTGCCAGCACTTTCTGCCTCCTGCAGTGCCAACAAACAACACTAGGACTTTTTAAATTAGAAATTTCTCAGTCACAGTGAGGGGCAAAAAATGCATAAATGCCTAATTGAGTTTTATTCAAGCAAATGCATCCAAAACTGTTTTGATGTAGTGATTTCTCTATAGCAACAAAAAGAGACACATTTTGCTCTCTTGTAGACATAAACACCTCTTGCAAAACAGTTGACATTTTATTTTAGTCATTTCTAAAGCTGGTGTTGATGATGTAACACAAGTTTCCAATATCTCAAATTATTGCTACTAACTTGAGTCTTTAGTAAATTTGGTATTGTTTTTTGAATCCAGTCTGCTGCAAGTGTTAAATGCAGAAAAGGAAAAAGAAAGTTGAAGGCATCAGACATTTTGTGATATTCGTTTTAGACGGAGGATGCCCAATTATTTGTGGAACTACACTTGTGTAAAAGTTGTTCACTTCACTATTACAAAGAAACACCAATTGTGTTTTTGGCAGTGTCTCATTCTTATAAGAGAGGAATGTTGACTTCAGTCTGAATTAACTAATTAAGCTAGTACACAAAATTTAATTTACCTAAATTCTTTAAGGTGGAGACTTTCTGTTAGCCCCACCTTAGATGTAAACATGTTGATGACTAAATGAGTTCCACTGAATTTGTTAGTTAATGCAATCAGTGGCCTCATTAGTGTAACTGTCTATTTTTGAGAATATGGGGTCATTAGCAGCAAGCTCGTCTGCCTGTTGTTTCCATTAGCACACGCTGTGCTGGATCAGACCTGAGCTTCGCTTTCTAACCTCCTTGCATCACTCAGAAAACCACATATTGGCAGAACATTTAATTGACTTTGCCAGGAGCACCCTGAGAGGAAAGGCTATTTTATTCAGGCATTTCTAGTAGTCTCATTTTTTATTTCTGTAACTTTGTCTCTATTTCATGCTTTTCACTCATGTTTTAGCCAGTTTTGCTCAGCTCAATTTTTTTTATTTTCCTGTCCTGGAAGATGGATATATCTTCATGTAGGATGCTGTCAAAAAGGAAACGTCCTGTTGATTATCAAAACCTTTGAATTCTAGGATTTGTGTCATTACCACTAATCTTACCATCCAGTCTTTTTCCAGTTGGCAATTTACTAAAGAAAATTACTTCTTGTACATTTACTGAAATGAATGGACTCAATAAAATAAATCCATCCATCCATCCATTTTCTTCCGCTTATCTGCGGTCGGGTCGCGGGGGTAGCAGCTTAAGTAGGGAGGCCCAGACTTCCCTCTCCCCAGCCACTTGGTCCAGCTCCTCTGGTGGAATCCCAAGGCATTCCCAGGCCAGCTGAGAAACATAGTCCCTCCAGTGTGTCCTGAGTCTTCCTCTGGGTCTCCTCCCGGTGGGACATGCCCAGAATACCTCACCAGGGAGGCGTCCAGGAGGCATCCTAACCAGATGTTCGAGCCACCTCAACTGGCTCCTCCCAACGCGGAGAAGCAGCGTCTCTACTCTGAGTCCCTCCCAAATGACCAAGCTTCTCACCCTATCTCTAAGGGAGAGCCCAGACACCCTGCGGAGAAAACTCATTTTGGCCGCTTGTATCCAAGATCTCGTTCTTTTGGTCACAACCCAAAGCTCATGATCATAGATGAGGGTAGGATTGTAGATTGAGCGGTAAATTGAGAGCTTCGCCTTTTGACACAGCTCTCTCTTTACCAAGACAGACTGGTACAGCGCCCGCTTCACTGCAGATGCCGCACCTATCCGCCTATCGATCTCCCACTCCATTTTTCTCTCATTTGTGAACAAGACCCCAAGATACTTAAAATCCTCCACTTGGGGCAGGACCTCCTCCCCAACCCGGAGAGGACACTACCCTTTTCTGGCTTAAGACTATGGCCTTGGATTTGGAGGATCAGTTCCTTCAAATTCGAGGCCATAGTCTTAAGCTTGGCCGCGTCACACTCTGCTGCGAACCGCTCCAATGAAAGTTGTAGATCACAACCCGATGAAGCCAGTAGGACCACATCATCTGCAAAAAGCAGAGATACGATCCTAAGATCACCAAAACTGATCACCTCAACACCTTGGCTGTGCCTTGAAATTATGTCCATAACAGTTATGAACAGAGTCAGTGACAAGGGGCAACCTTGGCAGAGTCCAACTCTCACCGGGAATGAGCCCGACTTACTGCCAGCAATGTGGATCAAGCTCTGAGACCGGTTATACAGAGACCTAACAGCCTGTATCAAAGGGCCTGGTACCCCATACTCCCAGAGTACCTCCCACAGGGTTCCCCGAGTGACGCGGTCGAACGCCTTCTCCAAGTCCACAAAGTACATGTAGATAGGTTGTGCAAACTCCCATGCACCCTCCAGGACCCTGGTTAGAGAGTAGAGCTGGCCCATTGTTAAACAACCAGGACAAAAACCACACTGCTCCTCCTGAATCTGAGGTTCAACTATCTGACGGACCCTCCTGAGGCTTAAGAGCGTGATCTCCCTGTAATTGTAACACACTCTACGGCCCTCTCCCCTCCCTGATGGACATTTACACATCACGCTGCCTCAACAAAGCAGAAAGCATAATCATGGACTGTTCACTCCCGAGTTTTGAACTGTTTGACTTGTTACCTTCAGGGAAACGCTACAGGTGCATCAGAACATGAACAAACAGATTCAAGAACAGTTTTTTCCCGAAAGCCATCACCACACTGAACTCACACATGCACTGATTTAATAATCTAACCTCCCAAACACCTGGACTTCTATTGTGCAATACTACTGACATTTCATACCCTCAGTCACCTTAACTACCTCACTAATATCCATAATGTGC